AGAGTTAGCAATCCACAACGGACGCAAGGAGCTTTCCCCAGCTGTCCGTTCTTGCGTTGTCCGGCGCGAGGGAATTCAGGGTTGGATAATCGAATCGATTGGATCCCAAATATGAAAATCTCGCGGGGAGAGTTCAGAACCTAGGTACATTGCGACTACTAGTTGACTATTCACGCAGTAACTAGGGAGCTAGCTGGCAGGGAAATAATTAAAAAAAAAAAAAAAGAGGAATTAGGTAGAGATATATCCCTCAAGAATGACCAGTCCGATTGTTCTTACTTTACTTCCAGGTCAACGGACAGACAGACCAATTCTAGGGATGTTGGTTTCTTCATTTCTTGAGTGAATGAATGATCAACTGCGCGATTTACAAGGACGCCTCACTTCGGAGTATACAGGATTGAAGGTGTAGGCAAGGTAAGGTAGGTAGGAAGGTACCTGTGCATGCTGCCAAGGGCGTGCATTGCAGCGTGACGTCTCATCTTCAAGACTTCAGGTTCCATTCAATGAAGGATGTAATTTTATTTCATATTGAGGGTAAATATTTCTCAATTTGCAAATATACTTACGCACTGTTCTTGCGGCCTCTCTGTCTTTCTACGAGGTACATCCTCCAAAAGTCCCTACCTTGCTTGGGATTACATCATTCCCAGGTAACCGCCGTCGGCAAGGCGGGTAAGCTTGTGACTTGCCCTGAAGGTATCTTGCATTGACTGACCTACCATCGACGTATGTACCTCCACCTTTTTAGAGAACTGGCATAGAGGATGATTTCATGGGTGTATGGGTATACAGATGTGTATCTTGCAATTCCCTATCTCTAGATACCTCAGGTACCTACTCTATAGTCTATACTCACTAAAAGGAAAGTTCAAGGAAGCTGCACCGCGATGGAAGCAGGCGAGTCCCAAAAGGGAGAAAAGCCCCATGAATCTGACACCCCCGATCCCTACCGCCCTCACTCATCTGATTATCAGAAAATACAACAATGAACGTGAAATAGTAAATCTTGCCCAACATCACAAGTCCAATTAATTATTATTGAGTATTGAATGTCCGGGTGAATAATGAATTATTCGCCGCCTCTGATTCGGCCCGAGGTCAGTCAGCGCCGTTTGTCACGATCCCTCGGCCCAGAGCCAATCAGCAGCCGACGATAAGAGACTCGGTGCGGCGGAGTCCCTCGTTGCCTTTGTTTGGTTGACCGCGTGTGAGGGTTTTTTTTTTTTTTTTTTCCCTTTTTCTTTTTCATTTTTCCTTTTTCATTTTTCATTTTTGTTTCTGTTGCGTTTTAGGTTTTGGGTCTATCCTTTGAGGAAGTCAGTGGAGGGTATGAACAAGTCATGGGCTTTTCCAATTTATTATTTTCTTATTAGAATTTCAATAAACCGCGCATGTTATGGCGGAGTTGAGAATTCTTGATCGGCGGTGAACAATTAGTCCCTATCAAAGGGCGTGAGTGAGGGATATTTTATACCAAATCCGTCCGTCGTTGTTTTGGGTTGTGCGATGCGATTTGCCGAGCCTGCTTGGTGGTTCTCTCCCTTTGGGCCTTTTAATTTCCTGGGACTGGTTCGGCTGTTTCTCCCTCCATACAGGGGACTCGAAACTACTTCTCGGTTGTTTCGTCGTGACAGCCTCCGTCCACGTTTCCCAGTCGGACAAAGAAGACCGGATAGTGATAGGTACATATCTGCGGTGTAGACAAAAGGCAGATGCACGAGTCGAGTCCACGACCTTTGTCCTTCTCCTGGGGAATCCATGATCCATCCCAGTTGGGCACGCTAACCCGGCTTCGGCTAGCGGTGCAGCGCCACGATGGATGATCTATTATTATATTGCCTCGTCTATATTTGAGACCAGGCGCGGCGCAGCTGATAAAGGCGATAAAAATGAAAATGGTTGAGAAATGAAAATACAAGCTGTATTGGATTTTGAATCAATGTATTCGTTAGCCTCGCTATTTTTAATTCTCAAACCACTTTGTCTTACAATGTACCGACCGGAATGAAAATTCTGAGCTACTAGTCTACAGTCTACAGTCTACACTGTGAGCTATCTATCTCGGTGCTAGACTGCTGGCTAGATAGTACGGAGTAAACAGTTAGATCTAGACAGCTACCTTAGTTCCTTCCTGTCCTTGTCATCCACAGGGCTGAACCAATCGTTCTGGTTTGATGCCGCATACATATCCGACAACCGACCTGTATACATGAACATCGCAGCTGCCTACATCATACAGATGCAGAAAAGCAAACGTCACAGCTGATTGTCGGAGTATTCCTGAATCTCCCGACTCCAGCAACTGTGGACGCCCTGTCATTTGCTACGGCAGTCGTCCCTCACACGCTCGGCGCGACAAAAGAGGGGAAAATCCATGAATATGACGATGATCCAAGCAAACCCATCGGAAGCCTAGCAGGATTGCCCATGAACCCTGGCTCTCTAGAATCCATTGCCAATGGTGATTTTGCCACCGGGGAAATCTATCCGTGATTTTTTCCTGGGGAAATCCAAGTACATGAAAAAAATTAGGGCAAAAACAAATAGAGGCAAAATTCTGGAGAATCCTGGTTTGTGGGAACTTTACTTCCATTACACCGTACTCACTGCACCTTTTTCCGGTCGCAGTGAAGTGAGTAAAGCCAAGAATAAGCCTGACTAACGTCCAGCCGGTCTCGGGGCCCCCGTACTGTACGGCGGTCGGCGGTCGGCGGCTCTCTCGCCTTTTCGCGAATGTTTTGCCATCGCCCCACTTCCACGGGTAATACTTAGGTAAAAAAAGAGTGGCCGGGGGTCTGGTATTGATTGAGGCTGGGTAGTTGTAATGTAAATGGAGAAACCAGGTGGTAAGATCCATGGATATGTTGAGATTTATTATTTCCGCTTGGGGGTGGATGAGAGGATCAGGGATGGAATCGATTCTCCAGATGTTGATAACTAACGGAGTAGTGATACTTGATATTGGGTCTGTCTTAGCTTCAGGGCTCAATTCTATCCAGTAATATTTTCCCGAAGGAAGAGCTAGCTGGAAAAACAGGATGCGATGGAAGGATAATTGGATATTATTTCTTTCTTTCTTTTTCTCCCTTCCAAGAAAACGTGCACGAGGGAATTTTCTGAATTCCATTGAATGAGTCAAGAAAGAAAAAAAAAATCAAAATCGGCAGACGCGCTATGACCCACCCACGCGACATGGCGGGGGTCTTTTTTGAGGGGCACTTGATAAGGAATTAATTAATTGGGATGCGTTCTTGATAAGTCGCAGGTACGGGTACAACGCTACGCCGTACCTGGATTTTGATATGATTGCGTGCTATCATGCTGTCCTCCGTACTTTTGGCATCGAGCAGTCGCACTTATCACCTTTCTCGAAAGATTCTACCCGTGCTATATATCCTCTTGATGATAGGACCGATAGCACAAGACATCCGGCGAGGATTCGTTGCTATCCAGATGATGACCTGAACGCCATACTCCCCTCCTGCCAATAGAATCCAGATCTATCAGATTAGGTGCATTCAACGTTTGAACTACTTGGGTCCTGCAGCTGATATGTACCACCATCCCGGTCGCGGTTGATAATACCCGTTACCAACGTATTCGTGTCGCTATCTCTGGCGCTGACCTTGACCTGTATGTCGACGGAATCAGACCATCTGCTCGTTGCTTTTTCAAACAGCTCCCCTCCCATTCGAGGGCTCAGATATCTACACATCATCCTACCCCGAGTAGGTTGGGGAGGATCAGGGATGACCATGATACTGATAGGGGGCACTGGGATTCGGGATCACCGTGGCGTGGGGTGGGATTATCCGGGGAAATCCCAGCAAAAGCTGAGTTCGCGACCCGTCCCAGATGGATGGATCGTTACATCGACTCGTCTAGAAGTAGGCCGGCATCCGGTTGGAATCGAGGCATTTGCCTATCACAATATAGTTCGTTGTTACATGTCTGCAAGTGCAATGCACGCAGACGGAGTACGTGTGTGCATGCCTGACGGGTTGCCCCGGCCAGGGAAGAAAGGGGGAGTCATTTTTTGCATTTCCCGATTGGGCTGGACTGGATGAATGAATGCGCAATTTACATTCGTAGTGGGCTTTCATTACTGTGATAGTAAAGAGTATTGTACATACTAACTATATTGTATAGAGTATACTATATTCAATGCTAGTATGTATACAGATCTATTGATAGCATCTACCCGTAGAGTAGGAGTCTCCGAGTGGAAACCTGTGGCGTACGGCGACCCTGGTCGATGCTGCAGCCTTGCCGCACCGCCATCTTGATGGACGCTTCTGGCCTGTCCGTTACTTTGGTGTATTTCACTATTCAGGATTCTGCGTTGCGCTTTTTTTATTTTTATTTTTATTTTTTTATTTTTTATTTAATTTTTTTTTTTTTAAATTTGTTCTATTTTTTTCATCCCTAATTATATCGTACTGAAACAACAGCAGAGTAGCGTAGCAAACCATGACACATTGATGAAGATCGATCGACCGAAATAGAGGCCCAGACGGGTTCGGTCTGGCAGCAACTGCCCCAGTTGGACTGACTAAGGTAACCAAAGCAGCCCGGCAACCGACGCGCCCACTAAAAATATTACATTACCGTAATTTTCAATCCGACTCCCGCCATGCCCGATTTGGCACCGAATTTGCCCCCCTCTCGCACCCCCAAAAAAAGCTCTCTCCGTCCTTTCTTTCCTTAAATTTAAAGCATCTCCCCCCCACCCACAGTTTCATTGTATCTCACATCTCCATCCCTCCATATTTCATTCCGCTTTTCCACTCTCTTCTCTCGTCCATATTCTCTCTCTCCTCTCTCGAATTACTTATCCCTTCAATCTTTTTGATTGTGTTTGCCGCTTTCGTCTGTTACTGCAGTATCGAAGATCCGTTGATTGATCAGTCTCTTGAAATTCGCTCTGCTTGGTGCAAGCTGAATTCTTTGAAAACTTCAACCCTTTTTCTCCATCTTTAACTACACATTAATTCATCATGGTATGTTCCTACTCCCGGCCACACTGTGGTCCCAGCTGTGGTCAACCGAACTGTGCGCTAATATGACTCATCTTCAGGCCGAATCGACTACCATCTCCAACACGGAGAATGTGCGTTTTTCTTATTAATACCTATACTTTTTCTTCAGCCGCTCTGCGGTCTTGAGGAAACAGTCAGACTAACATTATGTGCGCTGGCAACAGCTCATGAAGTACATGGCCCTCGACCAGCGAGGTACCGTTCAAGCCGAATACATCTGGATTGACGCCGTCGGTGGCTGCCGTAGCAAGACCAAGGTATGACCGATCCTATTTCCTCAATTAATGTGCGGTAAAATCTGGTGGATCGTGGATGGTGGTGCATTTGGCGGGTCAACAGATCGAAGATCGTCTTATCTGGTCGACTCTGAATCCTGCGATAAGCCCTGCGCACGGAGCCCTTGGCTTGTCCTGTCCCTGCATCCACCCGCTCCACACGTGACCAACCGCATATTGCTTTCAGCCCCTCTTCGATACATGGCTAACTTAATTTTGAATAGACCCTCTCCAAGCCTGTCCAGTCGGTCGACGAGCTCCCCGAATGGAACTTTGACGGTTCCTCGACGGGTCAGGCCCCTGGCGATAACTCCGATGTCTACCTGCGCCCAGTTGCCATCTACCCCGATCCCTTCCGTCTGGGTGACAACATCCTCGTCCTCTGCGAGACCTGGGATTCGGATGGAACCCCCAACAAGTTCAACCACCGTCACGATGCCAACCGCCTGATGGAGGCCAATGTCAAGGAGGAATTCTGGTTCGGTCTGGAACAAGAATACACCCTCCTCGGTAACGATGGCTGGCCGTACGGATGGCCCAAGGGAGGTTTCCCCGGTGCCCAGGGCCCTTACTACTGCGGTGTCGGAACCGGCAAGGTCTACTGCCGTGATATCGTTGAGGCTCACTTCCGCGCTTGCTTGTACGCTGGTATCAAGATCTCCGGTATCAACGCCGAGGTCATGCCCTCGCAATGGGAGTACCAAGTCGGTCCCTGCAGCGGAATCGAGAGTGAGTCTTCCTTTCCCCCAATCAATTGATCTGTTCATGTCTAACAATAACAGTGGGTGACCACCTCTGGTTGTCCCGATTCATCCTCCACCGTGTCGCCGAGGAATTCGGTGTCCGCATCTCTTTCGAGCCCAAGCCCATCAAGGGTGAATGGAACGGAGCTGGTCTCCACACCAACGTCTCCTCCGCCTCGATGCGTGCCGATGGCGGTATGAAGGTCATCGAAGCCGCCATGAAGAAGCTGGAGGCGCGTCACGTCGAGCACATTGCCGTCTACGGCGAAGGTAACGAGGAGCGTCTGACCGGCCGTCACGAGACCGGCGACATCGACAAGTTCAGCTACGGCGTTGCCGACCGTGGTGGCTCGATCCGTATTCCCCGCCAATGTGCCAAGGATGGCAAGGGTTACTTTGAAGATCGTCGCCCTGCCAGTAATGCTTGCCCTTACCAGATCACTGGTATCATCGTTGAGACTGTACGTTCTTATCAACCCTTTTTTCCCCCTGAAGATGTACTGACTTCAACAGCTCTGCGGTGGCCTTTAAATCCTTTATTACTTAGCAACTCGTATACCCTCCGGCGTCATATGGGAGCAGAACTGAGGCAAGCAGCCTTGGCAGTCGGGAGAAAACATAGAATTTTATTTTTGTTGTTTTCTTTTTTCTTATTCCTGGCCTATTAGATTGGTTCCGGGTTTCTTTCTTTACTCCAAGATGCCAGGTTGCCCATCTACGTTCGTTTCCATCCTTGCATTTGTTTTTTGTTAGTGTTATGTGTTACGGCAAACATAGAAGAATCATTCTCTTCAGAGGTGAAATGGACAATCATAGGAATGAATATGGTGGATCAAAAAAAAAAAAAAAAGAAAGAAAAAAAAAGAAAAAAACAAAACACACATAGCTTTACCTTGTCACAGTAGATAGTGTATCAACATCACTCATTAATCAAGATATTGAGACCAAACATCAAAATTACTTGAACAGTCTAGTAGTCTTGGTCGTCTTGACTTGCTGTAGTCCTGAAGCCACAACGGTGTAATTCATACAACTCCTACAGACATGAAGATGTGTCTAGCCCTGAATAATCCACATATCATCTTTCTCATCACCCAACATACAGGATCTGATTCTGAGTCTGCATATCCTAGCCATCACAGAACATTATTCCATAAACCAACTGGCAGACGGCTCAGGTAGTGAGAATGACTGGTCTTTCATGTATGACATAATAGAAATACCCCTCGCGGGCGATCGATTGATCGATTCAACCCTCAGCTCTTCGCAATACATGACCGTCCCTCCTCTCCTTGTACATGTATGTACCTGTGCCTTGAAGTTCTTAGGGGACAGTAGTAGGAAGGGGGATAAGTGCCCGAGCGAGATCCGTGGCCTACAGTTAGCTCTGATCGCTTCACCCTACATCAATCATCACTATGGTGTCAAGTCGAAGAGTCCGCCACGATCAGGGACGAGTTACACGTCGAACATCATCTACTCATCCTGCCATTGAACCCAGCGAGTCGGTCAAACCCGCAGCATCCTGCGAGCAGAACTCGTCTTTACTCACACCCGACCGAAGAATCTCGTCGAAGCGGGATGGCTCGCAGAACGATACGAGCGCTTGCTTGAGCAGGAAAGGGGGCGCTCGCAGTCTTATCCTTACGAGCACAGGGCTTCTCGGGGAGGATACCGGTCCCGTCAGAGACGACGAGGATGGCAACGACGAGATCCCTCTTCGCGGAAGCGTAGGGGGGTTTGGGCCAAGGAGGAAGATAACCTGAGAAGCCCTTGACTGACGCAGAACGGCAGAGGCTGAAGGATTAGAATCGCTGCTATATACATACATCTGTAGGAAAGAGGGTTGCTAGAAGGGCCGGAAAGCATGAGTCGCGGTTTGAACCGTGACGATTTTCTTGAAACGCGACCAGGACTGTGGAATCAAGGTAGGCGCTGAATAAGAATGAAAGATTCCTTCAATGAATGAATGAACGACCTCAAATGAGTCGACACACTGGTTAGCTCCATCTAGACCCGATCCTTCGGAGATAGATCTCGAATCCAGAAATTTCCGAATCCTTCGGACATAAGACTGTGTCTACTCTATACGTAGTCCTCGGATATTCCATACAGAGAGAGGTGAATATCCCGAGTTCGGCCGAATGCTCACACATACGGAGTTAGGTAATTGGGTGATGTTGTTGGTATATGGTATGTAGTCATGATGAGTATGAGTGAGTCTTAGTATAAGTATGGAAGGAGGTAGCTACCTAGCTTAATTTGATTCAGCTCGAAAAGTCCAGGTGAAATACTCCGTACTTCTTTTGGACTTGCTTTGTATAATATCACCTGTTCTTTTATCTATCTATCTCTTTATCTATTCATCGGACATCATCTATCTATCGATCTATACTCTACTCTACTCTACCCACTCAGCAAACTGCACTGATTACGAACCTCACCACCAATATCACCCATACAAAACTACACTACCAACATACCTCTACTTACATCCAACCCCCAATCAATAACCCCCTTGAAATAGAGGAAGAGCAAAAAAAAAAAAAAAAAAAAAAAAAAAAAAACCCGCCAAAAAAATGAAAATCCTCCTCTCCGGCGCCGGAATAACAAGCAACACGCTCGCCCACTTCCTCCCCCGCCAAGGCCACACCCTCACGATCCTCGAACGCGCCCCGACTCTCCGAGACACAGGCCTGCAAATCGATCTGCGCGGCCCGGGCGTGGAAGTGATTCGACGGATGGGACTTGAGAGCGCACTTAAGGAGAAGACGATTCGGGAGGAGGGGATTCAGGTTGTTGATAGGGTGGGGAGGAGGAGGGCTTGGTTTCCTGTTTCATCCTCCACGGAGGGGGATTTGTTGAGTACTTCTGGCGATGGGGATGGGAGGGGTGTTTGGAATGGGAAGGGCAAGGGGAGGAAGAGGAAGAATACTACGTTAACTACCGAGTGGGAGGTTATGAGGGGGGATTTGTGTCGGTTGTTGTTTGATTCTGCTCTGAAGGGTCAAGAGCAAGGGAAGGGTAAGGTGGAGTATCGATTCGGGACCTCGATTGATGAACTCCATGAACGGGCGGACGGGGTGGATGTGCGGTTCTCGACGGGGGAGAAGGAAGAGTTCGATCTGGTGATTGGTGCAGATGGACAGAATTCGAAGGTGAGGGAGTTGTTGATTGCTGAGAGGGAGCGTCAGAGAAGGTTATTGTCTCAGGGTCAGCAGCAGCCACAACTGAATCAGGGTCAAGGTCAAGATCAAGAAGCAGTGCATGGCACTGGCCATGCACTGACAGATCCATTCAAGCCCCTAGGCGTGTATGCCGGTCTCTTCACGACTTCTTGGCCTCTCCCGACTCTATCTGACAACCCCTCTCCTTCCTCATCATCATCTCAACCTCAACCTCAACCAAACCCCGACTCAAACAAACTAATTGGAACCGCCTACCTCGCGCCCTCCAAACGAGCCATCTTCACCCGCCGCCACCACCCACACAGAATCCAAGTCTACCTCTTCTGCCGCACCGACAGCCCGGCCTTCGCGGCGCTGAGACAAGGTCATATGGATCCAGTCGAGGAGAAAGCGCTCCTGAAGCACCATTTCGCAGACGCGGGGTGGAAAACGGATCGGTTGATGAAGGCACTTGAGGAGGCGGAGGATTTTTATTGTGAGAGGATTGGGTTCGTGAGTATGGAGGGATGGTCGACTCTTCTCCCTTCTCCTCCTGCCTCCTCTGGTTCTGGGGAGCGGGATTTAACTGGAGAGCATGGTGGCAGGGACACAACCAGGGCTAGCTACACAGGCGGCCGTATTGTTCTTGTCGGCGACGCAGCGTACGCTCCCTCCGTGACGACAGGCATGGGGACCACGGCGGGCGTGGTTGGCGCGTATGTCCTGGCCGGGGAGATTGGGAAGCATTGCACTTCTCAAATTGCATCTGGCCCTGCTGCGTCTACCAGAGCCCATCATCTTCCCTCATCATCATCTGGCATCGAACCTACCAGATATACTCCGGAGTCTGAACCTACTTCTACCACCACGCCCCCCTCCATCTCAACATCCAATATTCAACAGGCAATCCTCAACTACGAACACAACCTCCGTCCTTTCATAACCTACATCCAGAAAGACCTCTCCGAGGGAAAAAGTGCGTGGGACTCACTGCCCCAGACGAAGTTTGGGGTCGGGATGTGGAATGTTATGTTGGGTGTTTGTTCGTGGTTGAGGGTGGATACGTTTGGGGGTTGGGTGAGGGATGAGATTTACAAGGTGAAGGGAGAGAAGGGGGAGAGGGGGTGGGTTTTACCGGATTATGAGGAGGAGGGGAATTATCATCGGTTAGGGAAGAGGGAGTAGGATTACGCATATGTTTATGGGAGGGGTTCAGTTTGGGTCTGGCTATAGGGTGTAATTTGTATAGTATATGGAGGGAGGGGAGAGAGGATAGATTGGATGAGGTTATTGATTGTAGCTACAGTAGATGGAATTAGTTTTTGGTTTAGAGAATATTGCGATCAGGTTTTGACTGCATGAGTCAACGCGAGGTCACAACCAAGAATATCATGTACTCTTGTACTCATGTACTTGACTCTTGTAGTGGTCGTGCGATCATGCACTCATATAGTCTTGTTTGAAGTTCTCCCCTGATGCAGGTGTTCTGTGCATTGATTCTGTCAATCCTGTTCAGGAAAACCCATATCCGTAGACTATTTTTGTCTACAAGGTATAATGTACTGTACAAGGACAAGGAGAAGTATAACGATAGAGATCCTCGACGATTATGGATTACATTATACAGTTAACCTGAAGACCATGGTCTATCTTCATGATCAGACCAAGTATATACGTATCTACTTAGATATATAAACTACCCCCTCCTAAACATCCCAAACCGAAACAACCCATCCAACCCCCTCTGCTCCCTCTCCCTTCTCGCCGCCCCATCCACAATCTTCCCTTCCCCGTCCTCCCCCTCCCCCTCACTCCCACTCTCCCCTCCTCTCCTCCTCTTCCTCCCCTCCACAACCCTCAACAACACCTCCATCACCACCGACGCCAAAATACTCGCACACAAAATCCCCACCATCACCAAATTACTCTTTCGATACTTCGCCCGTCCCTCCGCCTCGTAATCGCTCGCCCACCCCGTATACAACGCATACGTCGTCAGAATCGAGCCCAGATTGCCCAGTCCCGAAACGACCGCCGAGGCAGCCGCCACGCCGACTTCGCCGTGTCGTGGCTGGAAGATTTCCGTTGTCCAGGTCATCGTGATGGGCACTGTGGGGCCCAGACCGAAGCCGACGATTAGGAGGCCGCCGTAGCGGGGCCAGCTGTTTGAGGCGGTTCCGGCGTAGGTGGTCAGGAGGAGGCCGAGGATTTGGAAGCAGACGGGGATGGAGAAGAAGATTGCGCGGTGCCGGTGGAAGCGGTCGGAGAGGGGGGTGACGAGGAGGATGGCGATTAGGTCCATCTGTTTTTTGGTGGGTTGGGTTAGTATGATAATTGAGGTAGTTGAGATGGTGAAGGGATAGACGTACGATCCAGATCGGAGCTGTCAGAAGACTCAAGTCGATTCCGTTCAAACTCGGGTTAATTCCCTTGATAATGACAGTGGCGTAATTCTGCACGCCGATGCCCACGCCCACCACGCCAAAGTACATGATCAGGAGTGGCCACAGCCGCCAATCCAGGAGCACCCGCGTGAGATCGCGCAAGGTCCACTGCGGTCGGTGATACACGCGCTTCAGGTCGTAGTAGTGGATTTCGGCGTCGCGGCCGGTCAGCGCCGGCTTGCTGCGCGGGATCCACCAGAGGTATTTGCGCTGGGGAGGCTGCTCGCCAGGAGCCGTGGGTCGGTCGGGGAGCCACCAGAGCAGCACGATGCCGACGGCTACGGTGATGACGCCGTACACGAGGAACATCCATTGGAAGCCGACGAGGCCATGCGCGCCGTCCATCTCCTGAAATCCGGCCGACACGAGTCCAACGACGGCGGCGGAGACCTGCGCGGCCGTGTAGTATTGACCGATGCGTTTGCCGGTGCGAGACGGGGGGTAGAACAGGGTGAGGTAGTAGGCCATGCCGGGCCACATGCCGGCGATGACGATACCCAGGAGGAGACGAAGGAGACTGCGACGGTTAGTATTTGGAGTCGTGCCATTCTCCGGTGGGGAACGTACTATAAACTCCAGGCGGCTTTCATCGCCGCCATACACGCCCCGATAATCCCCACGCTGATGACAATCCGACTCATCCAGACGTGCGGGCTCAACCGCGTCATGATCAGGTTAGACGGCAGATCGAACACGACATAACACACGTAGAACAAAGCCAACCCGGTCGAGATCTGATGCGGCGTCAAGTTCAAGACGGAGCCAAGATCATGCCCAACGTCGGCGTTCATAGTCTGCGCCAACCCGACATTGGATCGAATAGCGGAGCAGAGGAAGTACAGCACCCAGAAGGCGGGGATGATGCGGTAGTCCAATTTTCTGCACCGGTCAGCGATTTCCTTCCCGTGCCTTTCTCTGGCTTGCTTAGACTCACCGGTAGATGCGCTCGATGTTGGCGACATCGGGCTCTTCGCCCGACTCACGATCGTCGCGACTGTCTTGATCGCCTTCGTGAATATTCTGGGGCGGATGTTTATCCCGGTCGTCGGCCGGGGGGTATTGCGTTGACGACATAATTAGGCTAAAAAGGTTGATTAGTTAAAATCCGAGGGTTCGTTCATTGGACGGCACAACCTTACCAAAGAAGTGCTGCAGAACTGAAACAAACGAACTTTTACGATGAAGATACGAGAAAGAGAAAGAAAAGAAGAGAATCAAAAAGCCGCCGGTGAAGAGAAAAGAAAGCAACCGAAGATCAGCACAAGACCTCCAAGAAATAAAACTTCGAACCCCGCACGTCGACGGAGAAGATCTGGACTCGAACGAATGTGACCGTCGATCCACACAGTTGCGCTGTGGCTGCACTGCTTAACCCTGCGGTGTTTAATTAGCTTCTTGGTCTCTCGGGTGGGGGGAAGGAGACGAGGAGGATGGAAGAAAACGAAAAGAAATGAGGATGGGTAACACTAGGGATTAATCTCCGATCAGCTGGAGCCAAGAACCTACCTGCACAGGGGACATGGCGAGTTGAAGAAAAGGGACACTGCAGGGGAGGTAATCTTCAGACAATGCTGGAATTTAGATCGCAACTACCGGGATCAGAGAGGAACTGATTGATTGATTAGAGGTGATGATAGCCGAGCTGATCACGGGACTGTCCGGACGGGTCTGGCAGAATCAAAAATATTATTAAATCTCAGCCTGTCAGTCTGTCAGTGTCAGTGTCAGTGTCAAATACCACAACCGAGGTCCTACGAAAAGGAATCGCAGTCCAGAATGAAGACGAGAACCCCAAAAAAAGGAAAAATATGGGATGCCGACCGTCGGAGTCCCACGCAGCCAATCAGAGGTGGTGATCGCCTCAACCTTCAATGGCTGTCAAGACTCAAGGTACAATCTAGAAGCCATCGCTGGATACTATTCCGAGTGGTCTTACCCTCTCTCTTCCCTCCTGGTTGGGTGTTGGGAAGGAAATCCCACCCGGTGAACGCGTTGGAATTGGTCGATCGGCGTGACTCAACACTCAAAGTCAACGCTTTCCCGAGCCCTTCTCCTTCTCCATGCGTTCGCCGGTCAAGCTGCGAGCTAAAATATTATCCACCTGACTAACTGCAGGACAATCAGATACACACTTTCGATTTCTGTCAGTATCATCAACACTAAATCCTACGGCATTCTAGACATGGAATGGAATACATTCCACGGATATTCAATCCGATCCCATCCAGATCTCACGGCATTCCTCAAATCTTGGCCTTCCGGATGCGGTTGACCTGACCGTCCAGAGAGAGCACGGGAGTAAGATCGACTCCACCCGGATCTCGACCGCTGACAGTCCGCATCTGGTGCAGCCGGCAGGTATGCGCATTGTGGATAATGATATGAACGAGCCTTGGTCATCAGGTCGATCACGAAAACGACCGTCCGTTGATATAGAATACATACATACGTACATACATACATACATACACACTCGACATGAACCAGACACTATCTCCTGAATACTCCATGTGTTCAACACTCGGAATGTCATCTCATCTCGGCCAACCCCCCCGAAACCCGAGTCAGCAGTCAGTCGGCATGTAACCTGGATCGCCACCGCGTCTAGACAGTCGCATCGAGGCCTCCCGAGACTGTACGCCGAAGTAAGGCGTCAGGAGTAAGGGGGGCTTTACGGATTGCCACATGCACTGCGGACAGGTGCATCGTTAGGGTGAGTCTCGGTGTAACGGCTCGAGCCAATCGCTTCCAACGGGGCGTGGGAAGTCAAACCGGTGGCGTGTTCTAGATCGGGGAGTCCGGTTTATCGCTTGCGGAATTCGCAATACTGGGTGTGCATCAGGGCGGTCATAAAGATAGGGCTGGTTTACAGTACTTTGTAGGCTGGCCCCTGCGTCGTCGACCTTGATGTACAAACTGTAATTACCCCTACCCCCTTAATCCGGGCGTTGTATGTACTACATTCATGAAAGAAGATATGGTCATAACCAATAATAGGTTCTCAGCCTCAACTGGTATCTAATTATACATGAAGCGACATGACATGGGTATAAGTTAGAAGTAAGGGTGGCGGGCCGAATGCCTCCTGCAACCTGTGCCCGATGCAAGGAGGCCTCCACCGTAAGCCACGACGATGTAAAAACAAAATCCAAAAAATTCATGGTATCATCCAGAAGAAAAATAAGCAGGCCATCTATTCGATCACGCCTTCTCTGCATCCTGGCGATGTTCCACGCTCACGTTCTCGTCGCTGTCCTTCTCCAGCGACTTGTGATTGTGGTTCAGCACGCTGGCACGACGTACCGCATCGTCTTCCACGTCCGCTAGGGTGTGCAGAAGCTCGCCCTTCTTGCCGTACATATGAGGCTCGTCGCGGGCGGTCTTGACTAGGGACATCACGCTCTTGGTCTTGCGGAAGATCCGGTCCATTTCTTCCAGGGAGCGGCGAGTCGTTTCGGGGTAGAAGAAGTAGACGACGGGGAAGATAGCCGCATTACTGTGTGCGGGTTAGTCTTGGATTCAATTTAATGTTAGAGCAGAAAAGACTTACATGACGGCAAAGATGATGTAGGTCTGGTACTTGATGTTCTGGAAGGCAACCGGGGTGATCATGACGACCATAAAGTTGAAGATCCAGTTGGACGACGTCGCCAGAGCGTTGGCCGGCGCACGGATCTTCAGAGGCACGATCTCGGCCGGGTACAACCAGGTCATGCCCAGCCAGCCAATGGCGAAGAAGGTGTTGAACACGAACAGGAACACCGTACAGGCGACGTTGGCGCCCGAGTTCGAAATACTGGCGGTGACGGCAAGGATTACCATGGAGATCGACATACCGGCCGCACCGAACAGCATCAGACTGCGGCGACCGAAGATTTCAATGGTGAACACGGCCACCCACGACGCGATGAAGTACTCGGTTCCGTTGCAGGCCGCGATGAGGCGCGAGTTGATCAGGCTCATGCCCAGCTGGTTCTCCAACACCACGGGGATGTAGTAGGTGATCAGGTTGATACCGGAAATCTGCTGGAACATCTGGTTGACGTAGGCGAGCACCGTTCGGTGGAAGTGGCGGTTCTCGTCCATGGTGAACATGTCGCGGAAGGAGCCCTTGGCCATCTCCAGCACGGTGGCCTTGATGGCGGTGAATTCGGTCTGGACGAAGGTTTCGTCGGCCTCCTCGCCTAGCAGAGCGGCCAGCACTTCTTGCGCCTCGTCCTCGCGGCCCTTCAGCACGAGCCAGCGAGGGGATTCCGGAAGGAACATGACGAAGGCCAGGATGATGGCGGCAAAGAAGATCTGGAAGGCCAATGGGAATCGCCAGGCCACCTCGCTAGGGTCGGCAAAGAGAAGACCGAAGTCGATCCAGTAGCTGATGGTGATTCCACAGGTAATCATGGCACCTTCGATCATGACCAGCTGACCACGTCGGTTGGATTTGCAGCACTCGGACTGCCAAGTAGGCACGGTCGAGGTGTTCATGCCGTTTCCTGATGCAAGGCTGGTTAGCGATCTTTGACGTGCACCAATTATATTGTATAGATGATCTGAAAAGAAAATGCTCACCGAAACCAGTGACCAGACGGCCGACGATAAGCTGAGGCAGATGGTAGGCGGTTGTCTGCAGCAGAGCACCGATAACCATGATGAAAGAACCAACGAAGATCGTTTTCCGGCGACCCAACCAATTGCCCACCCAGATGGTGGGAATCGAACCGGCGAAGCATCCCAAGTTGTAAGCAGCAACAACAATACCTGATATAGTGTTAGTGAAGCGAGGAAAAAAAAAAGAATGAAGATGGACATACCTTGACGAGTTGATTGAGCACTTTGTTCAGCGGCATTTAGGCTGTCCCAGTAGTCACCGTTGGTCGCGATTGTAGGGAAGTATTTGATGAAGGACTGGAGGGTCAAAAGACCACCGGTGACACCCTGATCGTATCCGAACAGCAAGAAATCCATACCAGCAATGAGGCCGATAGCGACCTGCAGCTTGCCGCCCTGAAGGCCCAAGTAGCTGCGCGCCATGGTGAAGTGTAGACCGGATTCCTCTATATCACGTATTTCTGACTCCCTAGGGGAATTGATTAAGGAGTACCAGTACGAACAGGTAGACTCATGAGAGGACGAGAAGGAGGATGTGTCAGACGGAAGACCTCTCGAGGAAGAAGGGTATGACAGAGAGCGGGAGAAACAAGGTTAAAAGGAAAGAAGCAAGAAGATCCGGGTTACACGGCGGGAGGTGAACGGGTTTATAAACGGCGTCGAGACAGCCAGAGAGAGACCGGGATGAGTTCCTGGAGGGTAAATGAAATACATTGACTAACATTGACTAGGCAGGAAGAAGAATAATTAAATTCGCGAGCACAGAAAATAATAAATTAATGAAACATATAATAGTCCCAACCAGGCCAACAGACCAATGACACCGCGGTATTTCCATGCCAGAACAGGGTACCCCCAAATTAACTTCCACGGGAGCAGAGGGTACAGAGTACAGACAGAAGCAAAAGCAAAGGAAATACGGAGTAACGCAAACGATGAGACGGCACGGTGATTGGAGTGAATGCTTCGTGGTGAGAGACCGACGTCTCCACCTCTCCGGATCGAGAGAATGCAAAGCAGCTGGGGGTCCGGTAGGCGACGGAGAGTCGCTACGACAGGTATGTTTTCCCCGACTTTCCTGGCTCTCTCCAGATGGAATGGTCCGGTGCCATTGGGCGTACCAGACCGGCCAGAGAGGGGAGACAGAGAGAGGGAGCGAGGGAATCCCCACTTCCAGGCCGACGTTGACTGTAGTCCGTGGACCGAAGCGCATCGGTAGGCTAAAGGGCTCGGAAAGAGAGAGAGAGGACACCCTCCGCAAAAGCAGGTCGCATGGCCGAAATGACGACGGGCCTCCACGATGGGATCGGCGGGGGCTGAACTGGCAATGGTCTCTCCCTCTGTCGGCCCGAACAGGCAAGGCGTGTCTGCACGATACAGGGAAGGCTCCACTCCACTCAATGCTGTGCGTGCAGTCTAGCCCCTTCTGGGCAAACCGAATACCCTTTGGTACTCCTGGTGTAACATAT